GCAAAAAAAAAAGTTTCTAACATGGTTTAAGAAAGGTGGTTAACCATGGTAGTCTGAAATCAGGCAGAAGGTAGGGCAGCGTTTCAGAGGCATGAGCAGGCCTTTAACCTGTCCTTTTGAGTTCAGCTAAGAATAAGCAGCTCATGTTTCACTGAACCTCCTTAAACCATGTTAGGTAGAAAGTAGGGCAGGGTAGTACCTTATGGCTCCTATAAATGTTCAGGGAGCCTCCTCTTATGTGCTGGAAATCCAGCATGTCAGAGCAGACCCGATTAACTGAGTCTGCTGGAGCACAGAAACTGATGAGCTCCGGCAGCCTTCCGTGTGTCACATGCATCAGCATCCCTGTGCTGAAAAAATGGCAGCGTCTTTGAAATAAAACACATTCAATGAGCTTTAGTTCAAAGCACCCCGCCACCATTTTTTCAGTGTGAAGACACATGGGGATGCTGATACACACAACGCGCGGTTGCTTTTAATTATTACAATTTACTAATTAAAGCACCCAGCACCATGTCCCAGAGCATGTAAAAAAATGCTCTTACAGTCTAAGTACTGAATTAATGTCCTGTTCACATTTTAATTCAGGTTACAGCCTAGCTCAGAAGACCACTTAAAAAAAAATCTTTTGGCTCATTCGCACTAACCTTTTATACAGTGTTTTCAAGCTCAAGGTCCCATATAAGGGACAGGCTCCAACTCCTTACAGGCCATGTCTGCACTGGGGTAATTTACATAAGAAAGTTGGTATCAGTGGTAGTACTACTTCAGGTAAAATTGTATTGGTACAAGTGGAAGATTTGATATAGGCAAAGCTGTAAGCACTGACTATAAGTTTAGTAATGACTACTGAAAGAAAGCTAACTGGCATAGCAGTAAAAATTATTTCAGCTGTTAGAAACAGCTTCATTTACATTACATTAGGAGATCCATACACTATGTGGAAGATAGAATTAGTGAAAAACATGTCTAATAAGATTCCTCATTGCTGAGCTTCCCTAACCCCAGCACTTAACTGTTTGTGAGAAAAGTGTTAATTGCTAGATTCCCCACCAACATAAAGAGAGCAGCAGGGTGCCTATTACTTTGTTTCTGGTCAATAAAAGGTACAAACAGTTTTCACCATAGTTGGATTTTAAACCCCAATAAAGCCATGAAATAATTTAGATACTTCAATACTTACAATAATACTTACAACAAAACTCACTGTTGTATCACAGTTAAACATCAAACATCAAAACAGTGATATGCACACAAAGCTTAAACAGAAATTCTCTTGCAACATGCAAGCAAATGAAAACGTGTTCATGAGAAGGGTAAATCTAAAAGTGCATTTCATAAGGCAAGCCACAAGATGGCTCTCATGTACAAGAGATGAGCTGCACTAAAAAAAAGCAAAAGAATGACATCATTGAACAGTACAAAATCAACACTTCTAAAAGATTACTTACTTCTCAAGAAATTCTTGAAGGCCCTGCCGACGATGATCTACATGCTGAGGGTTATTCATATTAAAAAAGGGTGTTTTAGATGGAAGTTCAGGTAATTGTCTTTAAAAAAAAGTAATAATAATTAAAATTAAAAGTGGCTTAGAAAGATTGCTTAAGTAAATGACAGCATTGCCAACCCCAAGCATTCAAAAGCTGTGTCAGGTCCCAACAAAGCAAGAGATGGGTTTACAAATTAGAATTTTCTTTAAAAGCAAATTGTTGTTTTTGTGTTTGTTTAGTTTTAAAACTTTCAGGGTCCAAGTTTTGAGCTTTGCTCAGCAACCATGAAGGCTAAAATTTTACTTTTTTAAAAGAATGACTGCTAAAATGTTTATGTAATTCCCTGGCTTCCTGAACTGGGGATCTGAGAAAATACACCAAAGATTAGGATAAAATCTTGAAAGTTGGCAAAGCTGAAATAATCTAATTTTAGGAACATCATTTTAATGATATGCATCCCTTCTCCTTGTATTTGGACACAGTCAAACCAAAGCCAGTCCCTAACTAAACAGAGGGGAGGAAAAAAAGCTGAAAATATCATGGCTTTGTATACTATAGTATAACATAGATATACCAAACCTAACTTTAAACTAGCTTGGATGCCAGCAATAGTCTAGCCATGGCTGGATGGATCTGAGTTGTGTCTTTCATTTCAGCCTTTGGTCCCATTCATCTATATGGTTGGCTTCTTAGATCTTCCTTCCATGTTTGTTTCCACAATTTGCACCTTCTATTCTTACCCCAGCTCATTCATGGTTTTTTGGGTTTTTTTAACTGTCTGGGCTGCAAAATTTGCCTCAGTAGTTCATTAAATATTTCAATAGTCAGCTTAACCTGAACTCTGAGCTACTGTGGTTACACTACTATCAGTATCTAAGTTAGCTAGTGACTTCAGCACAGCCCCAAACTTCGTGCATAACACTTTATACTTTTGGGATGTGTTAGGCCTCATCTGTTAAACATTTAATTTTAGACCATGCAAAGCACTCATATATGTATACGGTAGAGAATGAACTTGTGCAGGGAAAGGGACTACAGAATATAGTCTAACTAGCCTTATTTAACTTAGTTTTTATGATTCTCTAAAAGCAGAGTTAAAGAACAGACAAGAAACCTGTAGTTAGTGGCAAAAGACAATAAGAAAAAGGTTACTCACATTAACACAGCATTACTCTGAAGCCTCTGCCGCAGCCATACAAATTCTCGAAAGCGTCGTCTAACACATGATGTTTTCCTTGTAAAACACATGCTATTTGTCTATTGGGAAAAGAGACTCAGTTTACTTTGCAAGTCATTTAAACTGAAAAAAACAGCACAGGTTTGATATTGGAGGAAAAATAATTCTATTCCTGAAAACTAAGGGACAAATGTCAATACAGTTTCATAGAAGAGCAATGCAAATGGTTGTATCTACACCAGGCCAGTACGAGATCTTTACATTCAGAAAAAATCTCTTCACATCTTTACATCAGAAAAAAATTCCAACAGGATACTGATTTTTTTAGGGAAAAAAAAAAAATTTTTTTTTTTTACCAGCTCTAGCTATTATCTTCAAAACATTTATCCTAGATGTGCTTCTTCCAAACATATCCTCACTTAAATTGCAGGGACTAGTATGAGTGCTTATTGCTGCTAGAGCTGATCAGAAATTTCCAGCAGAAAGATTTTTTTTTCTCCTCAGAAGATGCCAATTCATTCAAAGCAACATTTTCCCATTTTGCCTGTTTTCCTATCAATTTGCCCACCTGGCTTCTCAGCAGCCCAGCAAGGTCAGCGGATCTAGCACAGCCCACACCATGCAGACTGCCTCTGGACAGCTGACTCCTCAGATACCCTATTCTTGGGCAGCTGCTCCCCAGGCTGCCAGAATGTAGCCTGCTCTGCAGCAGGAAACCAGGAACCTGGATATCCCCAAACCAGGGAGCTCTGGCTTTCCAGGCTCCCTGGCCAACTGACTCCCACAGATATCCAGTTCTCATCAACATGGAGCTAGTTACTCTAAGAACTGGACAGCCTCGAGAGTCAGAAGCCTTGCAGACTTGGGATCCCCGGACATGAGGTATTCCTAACAATTAACAATTCTTGTCAGATCCACTGCTCCCCATGACTGAATACCAATGGTGAAATTAATTCATATCACCATCAGTCAGCAGATGCTGAGGTGCCAAGGGACACATTTTCTCTTCAGAAACACAAATACATGAAACACCAACACAGCTACAAATTACAAATATACACAATTTCCATTTCCCACACCACTTAAAAAGAATGGGCTATGTTTTAAATCAGAACTAAGCCAAATTAAAAAATGTCAAGTCTTCTGGAAAGAGGAAATTTCAAGTTTCAACCACTTCTCATTCTTTTCTGGGGAGTAGGGGTGTATTTAGTAGCTATGTTGGTCTGAGAAAAAAGAAATGCAGAACTCTAGACCTCTTGGTTTAGAGATGATACCTTGATACCTTTTATCAGACCAACTAAGACATTGCAAAAAATATATCTTTCTTTGCAAGGATGCATTTGCATGAAAGCTTGCAAAGAAAGATATATTTTTTGCAATGTCTTAGTTGGTCTCATAAAAGGTATCGTCTCTGAACCAAGAGGTCTAGAGTATTGCATTTCTTTCTGGGGAATAAGCATTTGTCAGGCTGGATGCTTTGTTACCAGGCATTTGAATATTTGTTCTTGTCATAACCCAAAGGTATGATTTTGTGTGTGCTTCGGCACTAGAATTATCCCCGCCAAATTACAGCTTCGCTGCACGGTAGGGTTTTCTGCTGCAGAGGAGAACCCCGGTGCAAGGAAGAGTTTCCCGCCAATTTGTGGCTTCCTTTGCAGAGTGCATTGCTCAAGTTTCAAGGGAAATGCACAGTGCAAAGGAGTTCCCGCCACCCGCATGCAAATTGGTTCCCCACTATTGGCTAGTTCTAAATTATGCCCACGTGGCAGCTAACGATTGGCCTGTTAGCCGTATAAGAGGCTTGAGCGGTTTCCGCCCAAGCCGAAGAGGACTCCACATCCATCTCGTGGGAACTCTGGGTACACGGCAGGGTAATAGAAACCCTGTGTGAGATTCAGAGGAGTTTGGCGACCTGATCCATCGCCCACCTCTTCCCGTCTTCGAGCGATAATTTTATAAGACGTATCTACGAAGTTTCTATTTTGGTGGCGCGCTTGTCCAGGGCATCCGGAGCTCTGTTTCCGTGGAGCCTAGCAAACTCCACGTGGTCGTTCGTGTTGTTTTGTCTGTAACCACAACTCAAGCAAGTTTTCCAGCCTGCACCGCATCCATCTTCGGTGTAAGTAAACAATCTTTAAATCTACCATTACGAGTCCATGCCTAATTCTAGCGTGTCGCCCGTTCTCTCCGACCCCGCGTGCCCGGGCTGCTGGCCACAGCCCGCGCAGAGCACAAAAAAGGGTCGTGCCCGGCCCGCACAGTTCTCATCATGGAGAATAAATTACCCCCATCCACAGAATGCATGAACATTTAGTCTTGTGCCAGTCATGTCAGCACTGTGCTTTCAAACTTTCACCTAAGTATTTGATTATATTTGCAAAATGCCATTCAAACAGCAAATAAAATCCTCCATCTCAATTAGTTTATATACATTATTATAGTCTCTGTAACATTTCACCCAAAAAGTATTGCCATTGAATACAAATCAACAAAAAATAATTAAATATGTGGCAGAATTAGGATATAATAGTATAATTCCAAATGTATTCTTATTCAGATGTGGTACATGAAAATTATAAAGCTTTAAAACAATCACTTGACCTATCAAGGTAGTACTGAACTAGGCACAATATAAATATCAAGACACATTGAAAATATATACTATCACAGCAGCCACATATGGTAACTTGGTAAACAGAATGTCAAGAATCTTATTTAAGAAGCAAATAATGGGTGGTTAGTTGAAAAGAAAGCTGCATAAACAGGAACTCATGATGCCCAATGTTTTTTTCTTATTATAGTAAGACCCCGAGCATACCATGTCTGCCACACGAGTTCTCTGTTTAAGAGTTAGAAAAATAAAGGATATTGGTTGCTGAGCACCCAAATGTGAGCCAACATGACATGCTTGTATGCCCACCTCCATCCCTGATTGAGTAACTTGGCCAAAGTCAAGCAGCAAATCTGTTCTTTTGTTTACCCATCTATGAAAGGAGAATAATACCTTTGTACCTCCCAGAAGTGTGGTGTTCCAAGGCTCATTTCAATAATATTTGCTAAATGTTAATAGTCATTATAGAGGGTGCTGCAGAAACACAAAGTATTTTCACTCTATTAATACTTACATGAATGAATATCTCATAGTTTATATATGAATGCCAGGAGTCTTCCTTCTGTATTCTTGGGTCTCGTACCAAGACAGTAACAAATTCCTGTAAGCGCATAATAATCAAGCAATTAATTTTAGAGAAAGAACAGAGCTTGAAAGATTCTTCAATTATTCTGCTTCTTTACAAACGACAGCATTCAAAGTAAAAGCTGAACTGCTAGTTTATCGAATGTTGCAATTCTTTTAAAGGAGAAGCAGAAAGCAGTGAATCATCTCAGCTCCACCACATGTCCAGGAAACTCCTTACCAAACAGTTAGCAGCTATATGTGGAAATTTTCAAATGAGATAATACTGTAAATTTGCAAATACTTTTTTCAATGAGCATTTGGTGAATTCAATGATCAGAAGCTGACACTCTGACTCAACATCAGAGATTTAAAATAAAATTATGCAGTTATTTTTCAAGCGTCAATAAATTTCATGAAATAAAAGGAGGCTTTGCAAAACCACTGTAGTATGGAATACCTACATACAATATTTTATTAGTGGGTGCTGTATCTGTATTTCCTTCCACACTCTTCGTGCAGTTTTTCTTTAAAGTGAATACTTCAGGAATAATGATCATAATAAATGCTCTAAATGGAGGCAAGGGTTGTCTCTTTTCTATGGACAAACTGGTAATGTAATTACCAGGGATCCTGATTTTCTCTTTTTAAAAATCATGAATTCTCTGATAAAATTGCAAATTACCTGATTAAAAACCCCCAAATTCACATTTTTTCCACTATTAAAATGAAACGCTGTTTTTTACACACACACACACACACACACAGTTGAACACAATGTTTTATTGATAAATTTTCAAATTTTAAAGCAATTTGGAAGCTTACCAGTGCCTCAATCACTATAATAAATACATTCTAAATATCTATAAATGTTGGTGTTTCATTTTGGGCGTTTTATCCTGGAAATTCAAAGCTCCCCGTCCCCTTCGCTTACCAGAATGTGGGTCCAGCTCCAGCTGTCCCTCCCACTAGCTTTATAGCGCTGTCCCTGCCCCTCACTCCCAACCCACAGGCCCCCCCCAACCCAGCCAGTGTCCCTCACTCTTTACCCAAAGCCCTTTGCCTTCCCCCCGCTCCCAGTCCTGCTGGAGGGGGCCAGGGACCCAGGTCTGCAGCCCCTTGCCCCTCCCAGCAGCGCCCAAGCCTCAGATGTTGCCAGTGGGAAGCAGCAACTGCTGTGGCCAGAGTGGAGCATGGAGCTTAGCTTCCCATGCCCCACAGGTGGCACGACTGGAATGGAGCCTATGGCGGGGGTGCGGATTCAAAGATGCTAGGGTCGGAAGGGACCTCAATAGATCATCGAGTCCGACCCCCTGCATAGGCAGGAAAGGATGCTGGGGTCAGATGACCCCAGGTA